CTTCAAATGACCTCAGGAACCTCTTATTCCCTGATTGCGAGACATTTTTGTGCATACATTTTCCTTGTATGCACTAGTACTAGTATAAAATGAAAAGTAAGGCTTAAATATATAATCTTAGTTGTCGCATGATTTTTACCGCTTTTTGTATGGAAATCGACCACTGTGCGTCGTTCGAGTTGAAGAAACTGCAACATGGAAATATAGAATATAAAAGTGTAATAGTGTAAAGCACGGTGGGTCAATAACATTTTATGGTAAGCTTCGGCGATAAAGTGAAGCGAGTTCGAGAAAATCAAATAACAAACGTGTAATTTCAAAATTGCTAATATTTTTGTCTGCATACGTTGCGGATTAACGTTAACATTGGACTAAAATCGGATGTTTCAATAAATATAAATCTTAAAAGTTGTACATAGTACAGTGCACCGTATATTGCGATATTATTTTATTCAGTGAATACGATAAATAAGAAAGAAAGGAAAAGAAAAAAAATTAATTTCAAAGAGAGAGAGAGAGAGAGAGAGAGAGAGAAATATTAAATCTTAAATCTTCAAAAAAGAAGTTAAATCTGAAACTAACTTTACCGTAGGCACATCTAATAGTCAAAGAATAATTTTAAAACGTATAATATAATAACTTTAGTAATAATAAAGTTATAAAATAATAAATATAATAGCTTTATTAATAATAAAGTTATAAAATAATAAATATAATAACTTTATTCAATTCGAAACTGGGTAAAAAATTCCTTTGACAATCAAATGAAAACAATTTGAAAAATTGATTCTCGGTTCTGGAATGACATGTACGGTTGAAAATATTTGTTCATTAAGCGGTTGAACTAAATAAATAATAGTGAATGAAAATTTTAAAAGGTGCTTTTTGCCTAGTTTCCTAGGAATAGCGTTAAAAGCGAAGCGATTCGGCAGTCGCGATTAAATGTAAGTTTAAAAAAAAATAGAACGATGTTCCAGGAATCAAAAAAAGTATCGCGAGAAAAATCGGTTTATCTTGATGCACCAGTGGCGTGGCGATTCGCTCTCTCTCGGCTCCGATTATTTGAGCGTTGCTTCAAGTCAGAGATATGTATTAACATTTAAAAAATCGAATTTTGTATGAAAACAATTCTTTTTATAATGTCATGTATCCTAATTTGTAGAAAAATGAATACCGGCCAACCTCTTTTGTTTCGCCAGATCGTTAGAGATGCCTGAGAAATCGGGGTTTGTTTTGAAACCGGATACGAGCGTTGAACGCGGCGCGCGGTCGCCAAAACCTCGGACGTTCGTTCCTTGAAAATCGCACCGAACTTAAAAGTAGCCGAAAGTAGCGCACGAAACAACCGTTCGATTTCTTCCCAACAATTTCAACTTTCGTGTGACCGAAGTTCCAAGTTTTTTTTACAATTTTTTATAAAACTGTCATAAAGTTTAAGTTGTTTCTAAATATACATATACTTGAGAATGCTCTAGAAACGGTACAACCTTTTCATAGCTGGAACTAAACGACCAGAATTTTGTTTAGATTTGGTTGGTCTGCTAGACAACGACTAAAATACTTCTTTCAATTTCGCCGTTACTCGGCGTTACTACGAACAAGGTAAGAAACCTCGGTTCGCATAATTTGTTCTTCCTGTCGGTATTTCTCATTCTACGTGAAATAATGTAAAATATACTATAAATAGAATAGACGCATAACGTGTAATATATTCGCAGCTTGAAACATCTCGTAGCGAACAAAAATTAGCCTAAACAAAGAAATTGAGAAGTTCGATTTTTGCCAGAGGATCCCGTTTCGCCGTTCGCCGTACGGTGGCGCGCCGAGGAATGCGACGATCAGCTCTGCACGAGCCGCTCGTTAATGGAAAAGAGCGGTGGCATGCAAAGAGGGAGAGAGAGAGACAGAGAGGGGGGGTGGGGGGAGGGGGCGCCATGAAATCGAATTGGATCAGCCCACTTCAGCCGGAATGAAATCGCGGCGCGAATAAGCTTCTTAATAAAATGAAGGATTGATTGCACGTCGCCGGTCGTCACGTCGGTCGCGGTCGCAGCGAAGTCGACGTGTCCTCGTCGCATCTGCTTCTGTTTCTGTTTCTAACGCCGCGGTGCAGTGCAGTGCGGCGCGCCGCTCTGCTTCTGAGTGCGAGCGAACAGAATGTATTGATCGAGCACGGCTCGAACCGATTTCTCACATCGCAAATATCGCGTTCCCGATCTTGAATCGATCCGATATCCCCAATAAACGATAGACATCTCTTTCCCCTTATCACCCGATCGAATCGTTCCGTTGCTCCTTTTCTTATATTCTTCTCGATCGATTTTCTTCAAGCCTTTCCTTTCATCCTCTCTTTCTCCCCTCCCCACGCGTTTCTCTGAATCTACGGTCTCGTGCTTTTTCATTTTCTCTCTCTCTCTCTCTCTCTCTTGCTCGCTCGAACGCTCAGCTCCCCCTCTCTCTCTCTCTCATTCGCTCGCTCGCATTGCTCCCTCTATTTCTCGCTCTCCGTTTCTCTCGTTCGTTCGCGCATCTCCGTTCGCCTCTAGCCGAGTTTGTTCCAACAGCCGCCGACTTTCTCTCTCGCTCTCCTCGCTTCGAGAGATCCGTTTAGGTCGACGGCCTCAATCTTTCGATCGAGCGAAAATAGATCCACAAGTGCTCTTCGTCAACTGTATATCGCCACGAGATCGGTACTCGCTCCTCCGCCCGGATAAACGCGAAAAAGTTGCAGCCGGTTATAAGCCACGTTGCATTTCCGACTCTTCTCTGCTACGATCCGAAGCGGTCGCTCGCGCAAATCTTCCATTTCACGAAACACTGCCTCGGATCCGCACAATCGATTTTGGATCGTTGGTCGTCGTTAATTTAATTTAATTTAATTCAATTCAATTTATTTAATTGGCGGACAACAAATTTGTCCCGTACGAACATAATGTGAATGTATTATATGCGTACAGCGAGAATCTTACAGTGACGGCAATGTCACTGTAAAAATTATTATATAAATCACTCGCAATTATAATATAAAATGTAAAATGTAAAATGTAAAATGTAAAATGTAAAATGTAAAATGTAAAATGTAAAATGTAAAATGTAAAATGTAAAATGTAAAGGANTGTAAAATGTAAAATGTAAAATGTAAAATGTAAAATGTAAAATGTAAAATGTAAAATGTAAAATGTAAAATGTAAAATGTAAAATGTAAAATGTAAAATGTAAAATGTAAAATGTAAAATGTAAAATGTAAAATGTAAAATGTAAAATGTAAAATGTAAAATGTAAAATGTAAAATGTAAAATGTAAAATGTAAAATGTAAAATGTAAAATGTAAAATGTAAAATGTAAAATGTAAAATGTAAAATGTAAAATGTAAAATGTAAAATGTAAAATGTAAAATGTAAAATGTAAAATGTAAAATGTAAAATGTAAAATGTAAAATGTAAAATGTAAAATGTAAAATGTAAAATGTAAAATGTAAAATGTAAAATGTAAAATGTAAAATGTAAAATGTAAAATGTAAAATGTAAAATGTAAAATGTAAAATGTAAAATGTAAAATGTAAAATGTAAAATGTAAAATGTAAAATGTAAAATGTAAAATGTAAAATGTAAAATGTAAAATGTAAAATGTAAAATGTAAAATGTAAAATGTAAAATGTAAAATGTAAAATGTAAAATGTAAAATGTAAAATGTAAAATGTAAAATGTAAAATGTAAAATGTAAAATGTAAAATGTAAAATGTAAAATGTAAAATGTAAAATGTAAAATGTAAAATGTAAAATGTAAAATGTAAAATGTAAAATGTAAAATGTAAAATGTAAAATGTAAAGTATAATACAATATAAAAAGAGGACAAGGTAAAGTAACCGAGACGCGTATGTAATACAAAACGAGGAAAAAGGTATTGCAGGAAAATAGATAAAAGAGATACCGAAAAGGTGCTTTCGAGATTGGATAAAGAAAATTGGAAAGGTGGTATGAGTATTTTCTATGAAGAAACAGATTTACTCTCGGCGGGGCTCGAATCGGGTCCAAAAGATTCCTGGATCGGAGACCCTAGCCACTGCGCCAAACGAGGACTGTAAAAAGCGTCTAAAGATTCTAGTATTTGTCGAACATAGCGCTATTTTCGTTTCTATGTTTCTTTCGTGCACGCTGATTCGGAAGGCATTTATATTTTCGTAATTAATAACAAACTATTCATTTCAGCGTTATTTTTAGATAAAATAATCATTACATCGATAACAAAAATCGACGTACACTGTCACTATTATCTATATCCTCAAATATTATTTACTAACGTAGTATTCGTCGCATAGTTTTTTACCATGTGTGAACATTATTGCGGCACTTAAACGAACTGCGTAGTTCGCGACGAGCCGGCGCGAACACGCTCGCTCGTAGAATACCTACACCTAATTTGTAAAGTGCTACAGTGAGAATATCTTGATCCTAAGAATTGTAGCTGTGTGTGCATATGTAAAAGAAAACGCAAGAAAGTGCAAAGGAAGAAGTGAAAGGAAAGAGAACGAAAAATATCGAACGATATAAAGAAAAGGAAAAATGTGAGGTTATGCTACATTAAGGAAAACGTGGCGTTAGCCTTGCAAGAAATTCGTGGAGGAAACTCTGTTGCACAAATATCTCGGAAATATAACATTCCAGAGTAACGCAGTATTTATCCATAGTATTTAACACATAGTAATCGGAACCTCCGCAATATTTGACACGCAGTATGTAATCAGAATGTCAGCAGTATTTCGCTTGCGGTAATAAATACATAACCGTGGTAATATATGCACACGTATCGTTTCTTTACGTTACGTTTTTTAATGAAATTTGTGCTTTCGGAGATCGAACATTTTGAGAAAAGTAAATGTTCAATATAAAGATCAATTTATTGACGTGAAAGGTTATGTCAAAAGTTCGCCTTCATTGAGAAACCGCAATTATACCTACGCTTACTCTATAAATTTTCACGGTTCCTTTTGCATACATACTTGGTTCCAGCAAAATGCTCGATAGGGTAACGTTGGTCGTGTTACACGCATCGTCGTTCGTTCGTGGAAGCATCGGTGTCGAGAGAGATACAGGAGGCCATCTGTCAAAGTTTGTACGCTCTTCCGAGAAGTTCACTCTCACGCCTCCTCCGTATCGAACGGCTCTCGAGTGTTTCAGTTTCAATCGGCGCCCCGATAGAACGCGGCGCCAATCGGCTCCGTATAAATGCCGTAAAACTCGGCGATCGTTCCACTTGGATTCAGCGCTGATAAACCCGCGCGGCGCGGTGTTGCGCGGAAACGGCCGCAACTCGTTGGAAAATTTTTTAATTGCCCGCCCGTTACGCGATTCGCTCGATCGATTTGGCTCGCTAGTATCAGATTCTTCCGTTCCGTTTCGACCAATTTTTACCTTTACCCGCGGTATTGTCGTTCGGGATACCTTGCATGGAAACGTTTCGACCGACGAAATCAACAAATTCTCGAATTCATTTAATCTGTAAACGCGTGGCGCGTCAATGGGAATGTCGTGGTACGGTGCAATTTCTTTTTGTAAATAGTTACAACGATACTAAACGATCTAGAAGAAAAGAATTTATGATAATTTATTAATATAAATTAAAATAATATAAATGAAGATAATAAAAATTAAAATAGTAAAATAAATATTAATTTAAATTAATATTATTTATGATAATTTAATTATAACGTGAAAAACTAGACAATGGATTTTGCAACAAACAAATTGTAAAACGAGTGGTCGCTGATGGCCTCGCGACTAATGCGTCTACGCTAAAAGAAATAAGCTGATAAATAATGATAAAAATATAATAAATACTAATGAAAACGAGATTGAAATTTCATTTTTTGTTTAATCATTTTAGCGAGTTCTGAATAATATCGATAATCTTAAATGTTGTTATAATCTCTGTACAGTTTCGAATATTGATGCGTAATTCATCGTCGTGATGAATTGTCATATTATTTATAATGACAATAATATTATATATTATAATATATTATATATATATATACGCACATTATTTAAATATATATTATACTACATGATATATATAATATATATCATATAGTATAATATATATTTAAATAATAATGTTAAAATAAATATAACAACAATATTGATAGTAATATTAATTATATTTCGTAGTTAAAAAATTCTGCAGAAATTCTTCGATTTCGGTTCCGAATAGTTTCCTCGAGTTTGAAATATGTATTCCGATTACATTTTCCTTCGGGCTGATGCAAAACGCGCGCAATCGAATTTCCTAGAGCTGTTTACGCCCGTAGAATCGAGTTCGCTTGAAATTAATCGAACCAATGATAAGTATGTACATATATACATATACATATGTACTATGTAGGTTCAGCGGAAGCGTAACAAGATCGATGACAAAATCGGACCGCGGCGAGACATTTAATTGGAGGAGGCTCCGTTACGAACGTTTCTAATTATCTAATCGATTAGTTGAGAATTATCGATGAGTCGCGAAACGTAGAAGCGAAACGAATTACCGTATTATACGTTCATTTCTAATGCGACGCGAAGCAACTTGCGTACATTTCCCGGAAAAATTAATTCGCTCGATATAGAGCGATGAAGCAGATTACCGTGGGGTGACCAATTGCTGTGCCTTTGGTTTGTTTTCTGTTATAATTAACATTGTGTATGTCGAATAAAACGTACCAAATTTTTTTATTCTCTTATCTTGTATATTTTTTTGATAAAATAATCTGATGCGTCTAATTTACAACATTGTACATATAAAGTATAATAAGTAAATAAATATTTCTGTAATAGAAGCAGAAAATTCTTAATACTCGCGAGGGCACTATTTTTGCCGCGATCATTGCCCTTATGGTGTTTATAAAATTTACAGTATTTTTAAGTTTCAGAATGTTCAGAATTTTAGAAGAATTGGAATATCCTGGATTGTTTCGTAGAATTTTCTTGAAACGAAAACGCAAACACGCTAACGACTGTTTACTTATGTAAAATGAGATGCAAATATGCACGGAATTCCATTAAATATTCTGTTGCAATTAACACGTTTCCATGCAAATTGTCAATAAGAATATTTAATCAAATTACAACTTATCTATTCTTAAGGACAATCAGTAGAGCGAATGGAAAATTATAAAAACATTAGAAGAATTCCAGAACATTGTTACATTATTTTATATCTTATTTAGTACGTGTACGACAAATAAAGCAAGTAATAAAAACGAAGAAAAATTAAGAAGTTAGAATTAATATTTTCGTTGACACAGCTACAGCTGTGTAAAAATCTCCTTTGCCGGATTCATGTGGCATTTCCTAGGTGAAAATGTGTTCCTGCGTCCGTTCGTCGACGCGGCGCAGCGGTCGCGAGGGGTTGAGAAATTTCTGAACGACGTTTCCTTTACTTAAACTGTTGTGTGTTTTCTGTGCGCGAGTGCGCGGCACGAGCAGCCGGCGCGGCGCGGCGAGGCGTGCGAGCGCGCGATCGTGGAAAATGTGGAATGTACGGTAAAATTGCCGCGACAATTAGCACGCATAAGCATACGAGGTTGTCGTTACGTGCGCGCGGCTTAATTCTCCGACTCTTTTTCACCTACAGTCTACGCAGTCTACGGTCTACAGCCTCTATCTAATCGTCCCCCTCTCTACTACTCTTGGCGCCCCTGCTCCGCCGTGTCCCCGCCAACCGAACACGCGTCCACTACCGTTGTCTGTTTTACAGTCGCTCTCTCAAATACTCCCACTTGTCTCCCTATCTCTGCATGCTTCTGCCCCACACACTCGCCGAGCATAAACACGATACGTAACGGCTGCCTACTGCCTACCATACAGAGCCTAAATACGCGGCGCTGGCTCCACGCGATCCCCGTCGATAAAGGCGTCTTATTTAAAGGAAGCCTGCTGTTCCGTTCCTACCTATTATTCGGTTGTGTCACCTACGAATGGACGGCGACCATCGGTAGCAGTTGTCATCGATAATTCTCGATTGCTTTCAATAAATTGTCGACAGTCTCGTTGACCCATTTTTTCGCAATCCGTGACAAAAAAATCTTGTTATTTTAATCTTTCCCATTACTTCATGTACACGAACATTGTGAACTAAAATTTTGCTCTTATTGTCATCATCATCGTCATCGTCATCGTCATCATAATCATCATCATCATCATCATCATTATTATTATTATTATTATTATTATTATTATTATTATTATTATTATTATTATTATTGCTATTACTATTCTCTTACATTTGCTACATTTATTTCTCTGCATTCGTTGCTCTAACATAAACAAACGACGGGCGGGATCAAGTATCAAGTGTCGAACGGTCAGCGCAGGCATCCAGCTCTGTTACGGCGAGGGTAAATAGGGGGCAAAAGGGGGGGAAAATAAGTCCAGAAAGTTTTGAGAAGGATGTAAAACGTTTCCTTTGGCAAAAAGAAGGTACTGAAACAAATTTAAATTCGGTTGAACATCTTCTCTGTACATACTATCTTTGAACGCGCTTAGTACAAATGTACAGTCGATGTAGAAAGTATTCGTACAGTGACCAATTGAAAGTAAAACTAATTTATGTCCGTACGAGAAGTAAATTTTATAAGAAAACAATGATTAATAAATATTGTTGGATGTTTCGTAACCACGAAGGGTGAACGAGTATGATCGAGGACTTATTATTATTCGTGAAGTTAAACAAAATCGGCTCTGGCACGTAACTGTCGCCACAATTTTTCAAGCACTTCCAACAGTCCTACAAAAAAATGTTTCCAATGATAGTTAATCGGTATTTAGTCGACTACGTATTGAAATACAGCAAACTTCAAAAATTATTGCTTTTCGACTGGAAGCCAAGGTTACCTTAACTTTTTTAACCCTAGAAAGATAACCATATGACAACGTACGTAAAAGATAACCATACGCTTCAGAGGCGCATGCTTTTCTAAGGCGTCAATTTTATACTAACAATGGATATTTATTTAAGTTAATCTAGTCATTTTAAAGGTTTGGCATTATTGTAAAAATAAAATGCATTTATATTATATTTTTTTATATTTTAAGTAATTTTAAACTTAAATCACTAGACCTCTATGAAAAATTAACAAAAATCAACAGTCTTCGCAGGCGCCTCTGCGACGTAGGTTATCTTTCTCGGATTAAACGACCCCCGAACTTTTGACTTCGCAGTGTTATTGTTGACGAAAGAATGAATTCAACGATCTACTGTACTACGATCTTCAAATGGCCTTGACTGCAGTAATTTAGGGTTGAACAACAAAATCGAAAGCTATTTTATTTCAATGAATTTTGAATGAAGAAAACTGACCAATTGAAGAGCGAGTACGGCTGGCGCTCCGCCCTTGCGGCCAATGCCGGGTCGCGCTGGCCGTCTGACGCAGCGCCAATCAATCTCACCTCCCATTGGTCACTGTTTTTCGTTAATAACTCGCAAAGAAAGCCGTGGATCGCATTTTTATTAAGGAAAAAGTTACTCCAAACGACCTTAGGAATCACCCCTTTTCTGGTGTTAACATAATTATGGGACCAATAACATATATGAGACCAAAATACATGAAGATGGCGCCACGATAATCAAACATTAAAACATCGAACATCCATGGTATTATCTGGGGAAAAAGAATTTATAATCGTAATATTACATCTAAAGAATGTTTAAAAGATGCTTTATTGTGGAAGAGTGAAAGAAAATAGAGCCTGCAACTTAATACATCACATACCAAAAAGGCTTAAAACTATTCCAAGATCAAAAGGTAATCCTACAGATTATTAACGGTTAAATATTTAACTGTTAAATATTTAATTTATTTTCATAGCTTTTTCATTTGTTATTCAACTGTACGAATACTTTCTACGCATCTGTTTCCGAATATGCAACCGTTTTCATTGATATTTTTGCAATGCCAAAGGGAAATAAGATTCTGTTTACAAAAAATGTATTCTACAAATATCTGAGCATATTTATTAATCACTGCTTCCTCGTAAAATTAATTACTGGCATCGATATACATAGTTTTAGTTCTAATTGGTATCTGTACGAATACTTTCAACACCGACTGTACGTGTATTAAGAATTATACGTGCTAAAGTTCGAAATTGTTAATTACACGTGAACACGTGCATTTAACCCTTTGTCTACAACTATGTCTGAGAGACATGGTCAGATAATAGGAGCAGAAATGATTATCACGTCAGAGAGACGTAGTCAAAAAGTCGGGCCAGAAATTATTATCACGTCTGAGAGACGTA